GAAAAATAAAAAGAAATGAGGGAGGAATAGAGTTGTGAAACTCTACAAATTCTAGTGTTTAACGTCTCTAGCAAGACGTTAGGTCAACTCACTAATCAAATGAATCAAAAACTGGATATGAAACATCCTTATTGACCCTCTTTTCACTTTTCTCATTTAATGTCCCACTTATGACAATAAAATCATCCTCCAAAAGAATGACTTGAAAAGAAATAAAAGAGATAATATTGTTCCTTTCATCCACGGTCTTGAAAACAAAATCAATCATGGTTAGGCTTGCCTCTTTGTTGTGTTCTTGAAACACATTCAAATGATCATCCATATTGATAATTGGTGAGGCATTGTCTTTCAAAGACTCATTTGGATTAATAAGAAACACCCTCTCTTCATCCCTCTTCTCCTCCTCATAAATTACCATTTCCTCACCTTCTAAGTAAGCTAAGGAGTCCATTAGAGAGTATATTTCATTTTTAGAGCTTTTAAAGTCAAAACCACAATTTTTATACATTTCCAAAAGACACTCCTCAAGAGGGTCATTAGAGATAATAGAAGGAAGGCCCTCTTCAACAAGTTCCTCCTCCTTCTCTCCTACCTCAAGTGTGGTCAACATCTCCTCACTCTCTAGAGTAGCCATCTCCGAGATAAAATCATAATCAAAATAAGGAAAGTCCTCATTAATCATGTTATGTTCTATTGGATTAGCCACTAACTCACTTGCCACTTCCTCCTCTATACAAGATAGAGTGCTAGGCATTAGCTCACTTGTTTCATTCTCCTCACTCTCATCATCCTCATCTATATACATTGAAGTTCTTGCCATTTTTTCATTTGCCTCTTCCTCCTCCTCTTGATAAGAAAGAGTACTTGCAATTTGCTCAACTTGAGCTTCTAAGTTGGCTAAAGTTTGAGAATGAGAATTAATAAGTGAAGTGTGTGAAATATGCACATCAAGTAAAGCTAACACTTTTTCTTCAAATCCGGGTGAGTACTTAGAAGGTGGTGGAATTGATTCATCATAAAATGGTGGTGGAGGGCAATAGTCATAAGAAGGATTAAATGAGTAATCAAGTCCATAATAAGATGATGCATGAAATGAATTGTACTCAATCTCAGAAGGATTAAAATGTGATGGAGGAGCATAAGGTGAAGGGATGTAATTCCCCCCCAAACTTGGATCAAACAATTCCTCCATTCACAATTAAAACCCAAATGCAAGAAAAAATTGGCCTCAACAAGGGCCTATGCTTGGACAAAAATTTAGCAATCAAATGAGCCTCAACAAGGGCTATCACACGCATACAAAGAAGTGAAACAATTAAAATACAAGAGTGCCAGGAATTGCTCACAATTGTCCTTTAGCACTTCAACTCCAAATTTAGCTTTTAAGCTCCAATGATTGCTTTAAGTTCCAAAGTTCGCCTTCCTTATAGTCAAGTACCTAATTGAACAAATAATAATGAGAATCAAGAGAAAATAATATACAATGGAAAATAAAATAAAAATAGAAGATATCTAATGAACACTATTGTCTAGTTTAATTCCAACAAAACCGTTAATCCCCGGCAACAGCGCCAAAATCTGACGAGGGCCGTTCCAATACGCCAAACTGAATGTAGTGAATGTGTGGTTCAAGAAAAGCCTTTTATGTCAAATTTAAATTTATAAAAACCACTACCAACACCACTACTAACGTAGCAAGAGTGAGTAGGGATCGTCCCAAGGGATTATACGTGTTGGAATTTCAACTTCGACTCTAGCGTACCAAATGATTGCAAAAGAGAGTTGGGTTGGTTGATTAAGCTAAATTGAATTCAACTAAATAAAATAATGTGAAGTAAACAAGAGAGAGAGAGGTCTTGGGGTGTAGAGATCACCACCAAGCAATACTTTTCTATACCACTAACAAGTGATCAATTGAGGGTAATGGATGTGTTGCAACAATGTTGTGTGTGTAAAAGACATTCAATTGGTAAGGGTGACTCAACAAGTGCAAATTGTCTCAATCAACATATGTGAGGCCACAATACATCTATTGGTAGAGGAATATATTGTCTAAACATCATGTGAAGATAACAAAATAACAATTCAAGTCATTAAACCTTTCATTAAGCTCATAGTCCAAGCAATCCATAAGGATGACTTAGTTAAACATGCATTATCTAAACATCATGTGAGAGGTACAAAATATCTATTGGGACAGGAATAAATTGTCTAAACACATGTGAAAGATACAACATATCATAACTAGTCATTAATCCTTCATTAAGCTCACAATCCACATACAACATAATATTAGAGGAATATGCCATTTGGACTCACAAGCATGGAACATCAAATATCAAGAGTAGATTGTCCTCCCATCTAACATTACACTACCACTACACTAAATCTACACTACTAGCATGAAAATAAAGCTATCTAGACTAGGGGAGAGGCACAAACCATCAAGAATAGGCATAAACCATCAAATGAACCAAAATAGCATTCATTAAGCATATCATTTTGATAATCTTTAGATCTATAGCATCAATACACATAGACATGCATCAAAAACACTAAATCTAGAGATAAGCACATGAATATCCTACTCTAGCATACATAGACATATAGATAGAATAGAATAGTCAATTAGAAGCATTAAACCATACAAACCATGAAATAATCAAGATTTATATATACATGAATATCAAGATGTATCATACAACACTAATCCCTCAATAATACACAAGATTAGAGTATAGAAAGCATGCTTGGGGCTAACTCTAGCCCCAAGAGGATGTCTAGCCACTCATGGTAGAGATGATCCAACCCTCAAGGGCTAACTCCATGGCTGCTCCTTGTTGGTGAAGATCTCCTCCAATGGTGCTCTAGCTTCCCTCCTTCCTCCTCTCCAAGAATAGCTTCCAAGATGATTTTCAATGTGTGACAAGAGACTCTCTCCAAAAAGTGTATCACATTCCTTATATAGGTAGGTCAAATACACCCCATGATGAGCTGTGGTCGTGCAAGGCATATTCTCCAATGATTGGATGAAGGACGGAATAAATGAGCTGGACTTTAACTTTTGCTCGCTGGAGGAAGTTCGATCGATCGAACCTTAACTTAGATCGATCGAAAATGGGTTCGATCGATCAAACTGCATCTTGGATCAATCGAAGTGGTCTGACTCCTCCGGATAATGACAAGGCTGGGATATTTTCAAGATATTTATGGGGAAAAAGACAAAAGTGGTTGGTAAGCGTACAGCTGTGGATAAGATCAATCCTTTGAATAGGACAAAATAGGGTTCGATCGATTAAAGTTGATGTTCGATCGATCAAACTTGGAATTTCAGCAAAGGCCAAGGTTGGATCTATCGAGAAGTACTATGATCGATCATAGATGTTCGATCGATCGAACTCTAAGTTGGATCGATCGAACTTTTCAGCTGCACAACTTGATTCCTTTTTGCTCATTTCTTTCTCCACTTTGCTCCCTCCTTTGGTTTGTCTCAGGATTGCTTCAATTAAGCTCTTATTTGGCTGAGTTAGCTAAATTTTGGGATTAGTGCCTGAAAATATAAATAACACGTAATAAGTCTAAAACGGCAAAGTAAGATAGATAAAGGTACTAGAATGCTTAAGCTTAACGGGTTTAAATGCGCACTTTTCATTGCTCATCACACATGATATTCTATTTCTCTGTCTGGTTGTTTTGAAATGAAATGGAAATTGTGCTAGATGATGTTTGTAGTTTTTGTGCGAACTCTTGGCATTTGAAGTGTTGAAAGAGAAGGATTGAGGGAAAAAAATGATTGATCTGGTTTTGCTTTAAGTTTATTGTAATTTACTCTGTCATACAGACATATTTCTTCCATTAGGATTCTACAAACTTTCCTCTTCCTGATTAGGAAAAGAATAGGAAGGCTCTATATAAATATATGTAGGTCAGCTTTACTCATTATTCTATCAGTTTGGATCTCATCGCCAGTTGTGAAGTTTAAGATTTTTGCAGACTCCAGGTGAGTTGTTTTTATTATTCATATATATATATATATAATTACTCCGTATATCTTAGCTGAATTTACTATTATTCTCTCATGTGTTCGAATTCTCAAATAAATTCATGCATCTACATGTATTAATCTCTCTCTTTGTTATTTATATAAATGTATAACCACGGATTAAAGTTGCTATAAAAAATACTAAGACGAATTTCTGCCACAATATATATTTTTTTATAGATTGGAACTTGTGATTTGGGACTGGTTCACGTAGATTATAATATTGAAAATTATTTATATAAATGTTTGAAAGACAAGGCTGCTGTCTGCAATTTAAGCATTGGTGAGGGGGTTTTAAGTGCAATTTTTCCTGACTTTTATATCTCCTCTATCCCTAAAAATCTAAGCCGTCGTGCTTTATTCAGAGAGTTGACCAGGAAATAAAACTCTCGACTCTTTGTTCTATTAGGAAAAGATTGTATTTTGATATATATATATAGATCAGTTTTACTTAAGATTATTGGTTTGCATCACCAATTGTGAAGTTTAAGATTATTTCAGTCTTTGAGGTAAGTTGTTTTGATTGTTCATATTTCACAATATATTGTTTTTATGGGATTTGGATTTGGTACTGTATAAAGCCATGGGATTTGGATTTGGTAGTGTATAAATTAGGTTTAATATTGAAAATTAATTTTCTCCAATAGTTTTTTTTTTTTTTTCAAAAATTGTCATTAGCAAGTTTGTTACCCGTATGATGATGAAAGAGATTACACCAATAACTTCATTCTAGATCCTGGTTAACGACCAATAAGTTTGTTACAAGTTTTTTTTTTTTTTTTGGTGAATTATTTAGTTTGAAATTATAAATCCCATTCAAAATTTTGCCAATTGATTGAGTATTGTAGATTAAAAATATATATATAAATAAGTATTGTAGATATAATGTAAGTTATTGTGATAATATAGATTCTTTATTTTGTTCACAATGTAGTGGTATTAGCAAAAAAAAAGACTGATGGGGTCATTGGAGGGGTCAGATTGGGCATGGCTTCTGAAGAACTTATTGGATATGATTTTGGACAAGTTGGTTTCACTTTCTGAATACGTTCGATTTGGTGCGGTTTGCAAACCATGGTGGTGGGCATTGGATAACAAAGTTAAATTCGTTCAATATAGGTGTTCTAGACAAGTTCCATTATGGATCGTGCCTGCGAAAGATAATAGCAACAAAAGCCGTAGTCTATACAGCATCACTCATAATAAATTATGTGATTTTCAGTTACGGATACCTTATCAGAAGAGGCTTTCTGGTTCCTCACATGGTTGGTTGTTTATTGTGGAAGAACCCTTTGGTGTAACCTTAATCAACCCATTCTCTGGTGCTACCATTGAGCTTCGTCCAATTATGAACCTCTCAGATTTCCAGCCTCCTAATGTTAGTGACGACGATCATGACGACTTTGAATACGAGCATGACACAGGTCCTATTGAGGTTGACTTTGAAGTTGTAAAGGCTACATTGTCAGCTGACCCTGCTTCGTCTCCTAATGACTATATTGTTACGGCCATCTATAGTGGTTACTTTAAGACTAGCATTTATTCGGGCAGGAGATGAGGCTTGGACTTACATAGATAAAGAGAGATTTCGGCTCATCTTTGATGTCACATGTTATAAAGGCCGGATTTTTGCAGTTGATGATTAGAGTAGAGTCCTAATGATTGATGTTAATAGAAGGGCTGGGGATAGTCAGGCTCCGCAAGTGGAGGTAATTGCACCGCTAACTAATGTGTATTCTCATCAGACGTATCTTGCTGAATCATCTAGTGGGGATTTACTTGTTGTACAAAGGTTTGTAAAAGTTGGAGATGATTCACAGCATGCAACTACAGGGTTTAAGGTTTGCAAGTTGCTCTTAGACCAATTTGAGCAAGGTTGTTGGCCTATGCGGGTTGAATTGAAGAACTTGGGTGGAGACACCCTATTTTTGGGAGATAACCGTTCCATTTGTGTTTCAGTTTCCTAATGGCCCGGATGCCAACCAGATTCTATATACTACACAGATGATTATATGGAGATTCTATCCCAGCTTCCATCTGAGCGCCGCGACATTGGTATCTTCAACATGTTAAAGGGAAGCTTTGGGATGCATTACATCCTTGATCCTTCACATAAGGATATGCCACCCTCAATTTGGATTGTGCCAACTGTGTTATAAAATTGAGTGGAGACTTAATTATTTGGAGTGTGTTTTTGTCATATCTAATTTTATTTAGTTTTTTTTTTTAGCTCATCATTTTTATGCAGTGTAAAAAATCTATTTTTATCTCTTGCTGTAGCAAATGTGAGATCAAGTTTGTAAGACATATAATAAAATATTATTGTGGTTTTCTCTCAATTTTTATGGAATTATAAATATTTCTGAGCTACTATTCATTTTCTAATAAGAAAGTTACCGTCTTTTTCCTTATCAGAAATTTATTGTCTGTTTTTTTTAGAAGAAACCTCCTGTCTTTTTTCTCTATTAGCATCATGAATCATCTTCCTTAAAATGATTGTTGGAACTAACATTGAATCATAATTCTTGATGGTTAAAGTGTCCTTGTAAAGCAATCCAGCTCTCAACTATTGTTCTGTCTGCATATTTTGATAAGTATGTTCAAGTGTGGATAGCTTTTCATGTACTAAAGAGTTGGATGACATTCATGAAGGAAGCCTATATGTTCTTTGATTTTTTTTTTTTTTTTGAAAGCTGGATCATGTCTTGCATTAATTCTTGGGGCCCATTCATGAAAATGGATCTGAGTTTGGTTGAAAGTAAATCTTTTGTTGATCCATGTTTAGCTTATTATTGAGTGCCTGATCTGATTTTCCCGGATAGCTTTAAATTTATATGGTAGATACATTCGCTCTTTAAAGAACATGAAGATTGCTAGATATTCTCTATTATGATGCTTTGCCAGATTTATATATAATATAACTCTATTTTTACTGATGCACTAGGTGGCCGGTTTAGAGGATTATATCTGATGTCGGTGCAGAACTTAGTGTTTCTGATATCATTTCGCTAATGATGAAAGCTGCAGAGGCCAAAACTGTACTACTTGGGTTGCATTGTCTCATCACATGATTAGTGGTTTCTAAGGCTGTAGCTCCAGGAAGCAAATTTTTTTTATTTTCCTCCACATAAAAACTGTTTTGCGCATGAAAGATGGTCTTGTGCATGTGTGGCTTCTGGACTGAGTGATCCCTGCTGCGAGAATTTTCATCCAGCGATTATGCATTATTCCTTTTGGTCGGTACTATTAGCCTTACTTGTTCAATGAATTCTGAGTTTTGCTTGCATTTATTGTTCTGTTTGCAGGCAAGGATCTAAACACTGAATTCATCATATATCCTCACTACAAGAAAATGAGGAAATGGTGGCGGATATATTATATATATCAGCAGTCTAGATAAACCGCCGCAAGAGCTCCTTGTGCCAACCTTTTTCTGTAATTGCTGCCTGAGATATCATGTGACCGCGACTCAAACTATTTTATTAAATTTCCCCCGACTCTCTATCTTCTCTCATAGATTACTATCATTTCTCTCTTGCAACCTTTCTCTGTCTAATGCTCTCTCTTCTCTTAAACTCTTTCACCCCAAAGAACGAATACAGAATTGTTATCGGAATACACAGTCCTGTAACTGGAAAGTCAATGGAAACTCTCTCTCTCTCTCTCTCTCTCTCTCTCTCTCTCTATTAAATATGTATACATATATAAAAATCACTGAAAGAGGCTAATCTGGTTCCTTATTGTTAGTACAGATTCTTGTACATGGGGTTCGCCTCCTTTTCCCCTCTAAACGGAATGTGGGATAAGTTAGAAGCATACACCAAGGAAGCTTAGTGCCCTGCAATTGACATGATCTACCAACACTTAATGCAGGTCATAACATAACCATTGGCTTGGCATGGTTTCTAAATCCTGGTTTGTTGTGCATATTTGGCTGAATTTCCAGTTTTTATTTTTATTTTTTGTTATCAAAAGAAAAATCAGAACTTGTTGAGTATCCTTAACCAGTGTCCTGAGGACTAATGCAGAGTATTCTCGAATGTGGCTTAGTAATACCCTTCTTTTTATCTGTTTTAGCTACCAACAGGGGTCAAATGACTGTATACGATTCTTATTGCGGAAAATTCTGCAAAATTATGCAGCTCATAAACACACTGATGTGAATTCAGCTCGTAACAAGGTAATCTGATCAGTTTTGTTTCACAAAGTAGGTGTTCTTACCTGATGTTGATTTTTCGAAGCTTAGATTTTTAGTGACGGATCTTAATGACTGGTATTCTGCCTTTTTGATTTATACTTTTCTTTATCTTCTAGAAGTTGGTCAAGTGGATCTTATTTTGGTGTAAACTTTATGCAGGCACTGAGATAATGCAACAATTGCTGTCCATTTGTGAATGCAACAACTACTGTTCTTTTGCGTGAATAAGTTATGTTTTCTCTCTTGGACTTGTCACCAGTAATGATATTTTCATCTATGGATCGCAAGAGTGTAAGTTCAAATATATATTTTTCATCATTGACTAGTGCAAAATATTGAGCATCGTAGACTTTTTGAGATTCAGTTGTCTTTTTGAGACACAGTTGTCTCTAATTTTTTGAATTCTGCAATTGCATGTTGGCATGAGTTTTATGTGGTTATGGTAATTTCAAAACTTTTCCTTAACAGGTAGATCGAGTACTTATGATCATTTAAATTTAATTACATAGGTTCCTCCTTTATGCTTAAAGCCTTGTTTTGATTACACAGTTTCAACCTTTATGCTTAAGCTTAACATCTCAACCTTTTATGTTTAAGCTTAATATCACGAAGCTATAGAATAAGATATGTGTGAGCAAGCAATAAATATTACTTCAATTCTCATCAAAGCCTTGTTGTTTAACACGATGCCAATTTTCAGTTCTTTTGATGTCTTGTGTGCTGAATAGTTCAATCAGAAGGTTGGCTTCTCTTAGGGTCCCACTAAAGCAGAGAAGGACGCGTCTGCAGTGGATCGAAAGGGGAGGCTTCGGTTGAGGGCTTTGCCATCGCTGGTTAAGAAGAACGACAGTCAATAACTGCAAAGGATGAGACCGAGGATCACAACGGATCTGGATGACGTGCACTGTTTTGAAACGATAATCATGTACTGAGCAGCCAAGTTACTCCAAGCCAGGAGAGAGAAACTGAAGGTAACTTTACTATCATATATTCATTAAGAACAAGGAATTAATGAATCTAACTACTATCCATTCAATACTTGCTTATATTTGCTAATTAATTAAATCCTACTGATTATTTTGGCATATATGTAATGGTTGCACAGTGCACCCTCTCTACTTTGATTTGTATAAATCAACAACAGAGGTGTTTTAAGGACTATATTTGTATGTATATATAAGTTAAACCCATTTGCATTTGTCTTTCCCTTTCATTTCAGCATGGGTTCTTGTATATATAAGGCTATTTTTGTCCTTTACATAAGGTTGTTTTGTAATTTGGTGACTATGTAAGGTTAACAGCGTCTTTTCCTCTTAGTTAATGGGCATTTTGGTCACTGCAACCAATTTTTCTGATGTCACTGGCCAAATTTGGGATGATAGGGGGTATGTGACATAGGAAACCACACAATATTTTTGGATGTGACATAATTTTATCCACTGTTCTTCATGCTTTCAGGTAAAAAAATTACCTTTTCTCCGATTGGTACAATTTCATATAAGGCGTGATATATTTCTATACAAGCAAGCAATTTATAGCTATATAAGCGCACTGGTGTGAATCTAAATATGAGCCACAGGCAATTCCTGTTTGAATACCACTCATCCGGCTTTCGCTGATGATCTGCTACTTTTCTGCTCTGGAAATTTTCATTCAGTCTAAGTGCTCAAACAAGCTCTGGACACTATCTCTCCCTTCTCAGGCCTGACTGTTAATGTAGGCAAAAGCTCTATTTCCGTCTCTGGCATTAAGCCCTTTATAGTAAAACACATTCAAACTCTTTTGGGTTATGACCTAGGCTCTCTCCCAATTAGTCACTTGGGGGTTCCTTCGACTTTTACAAGGCTCAAGGCAAGTGATTGTAAGTCCATAACAGAGAAAATTACTAAAAGAATCTCCCACCGGACAAGTAGATGGTTGTCTTATGCAGGAAGGGTGCAACTCATCCAATCCATCCCTGTCTCCTCTATCGCTTATTAGGCTAGTATGTTCATCCTTCCAAATAACACTTTGGAGGACCTGAATGCTATCCTCGGAAATTTCCTATGGTTAGGAGTTGAACTCAAGAGCTCTAGTGCTAGAGTGGCATGGACTAATGTATGCACTCCCAAGTGCAAATGGGGACTTGGGTTTTCGAATATTGAAGTTGCCAATGCTGTATGAGCTATTAAGCATGCATATTGGTGCTTTGTTATCCAGAAACCAGCAAAGTATATGGGTGGTCTGGTACTGGACTTGCCTAATAAAATCATAAGGCTTCTTGGGCTGGAAGAAGATCACGCAGCTTCGACCACTGGCTAGACCACACACCTCCCACGGGATTGATAATGGTTCTATCTCGTCACTCTGGTTTGATAATT